CGCCCGCAGCCGCAGCCGCCGCCGCAGCCCCCGGAGCCCCCGGCGGCGCCCGGGCAGCGCCAGCTGGTCTACGTCTTCACCACGTGGCGCTCGGGCTCGTCCTTCTTTGGGGAGCTGTTCAACCAGAACCCCGACGTCTTCTTCCTCTACGAGCCCGTGTGGCACGTGTGGCAGAAGCTGTACCCGGGCGACGCCGTGTCCCTGCAGGGCGCTGCGCGGGACATGCTGGGCGCACTCTACCGCTGCGACCTGTCTGTTTTCCAGCTGTACAGCACGGCGGGGGCGGGCAGGAACCTCACCACGCTGGGCATCTTTGGTGCGGCCACCAACAAGGTGATCTGCTCGGCGCCGCTGTGCCCAGCCTACCGCAAGGATGTGGTGGGCCTGGTGGACGACAAGGTGTGCAAGAAGTGCCCGCCGCAGCACCTGGGCCTGCTGCAGGAGCAGTGCCACCAGTACCGCACGCTGGTCATCAAGGGCGTGCGTGTCTTTGACCTGGCTGTGCTGGCACCCCTGCTGCACGACCCTGCGCTGCGTCTCAAAGTCATCCACCTGGTGCGGGACCCCCGTGCCGTGGCCAGCTCCCGCATCAAGTCCCGTCACGGCCTGATCCGCGAGAGCCTGCAGGTGGTGCGGAGCCGTGACCCCCGCATCCACCGTATGCCCTTCCTGGACGCCAGCCACAAGCTGGGTGGCAAGAAGGAGGGTGGCGGCGGTGGTGGCGGCGGCTCAGACTACCACGCGTTGGGGGCCATGGAGGTGATCTGCAGCAGCATGGCCAGGACCCTGCAGACTGCCCTGCACCCGCCAGACTGGCTGCAGGGCAACTACCTGGCTGTGCGCTATGAGGACCTGGTGGTAGATCCCATCAAGACCCTGCGGCAGGTGTACAGCTTCGTCAACCTGGTGGTGAGCCCTGAGATGGAGAAATTTGCCCTCAATATGACCAGTGGGCCAGGCTACTCCTCCAAGCCCTTTGTGGTATCTGCTCGGAACGCCACCCAGGCCCTGAGTGCCTGGAGGACAGCACTGAGCTACCAGCAGATAAAGCAGATTGAGGAGTACTGCCATCAGCCGATGGCTGTGCTGGGCTACGAGAGGGTCAGCAGCCCCGAGGAGGTGAAGGACCTCAGCAAAACATTGCTCAGGAAACCGAGGCTGTGAGTGGGGCGCAGAGAGGTTGCGATCATCCACCCCAAAGGGTTGCAGATCTGCTGACCCTGAGAGCTGAGCCCATTGCAGGAACCAGCTGTGCTTGCTGGAGAGGGCAAGTGAGAGAGGGCAGCTTGGTTCTTCTGCTAGCTGGGGTATGGCCTTTCCCCCAAAGACTGAGAGGGTAATGCACATTAACATTTTTGCGTTGCCGGGTTATAGACAATTAAAAAAAGTGGAACTTAATAGTATTTGTAAAACCCCTTTCCCTGCTCTTGAAATGCCGGGAGGATTCGGTACCAAAATCTTGTTTACAAACAGACAATGGTAATGACAGACTTACCGAATTCCTGAGACACCTGTGCTGGGGACAGGATGATTTTGAAAGCATAATACTGAGAATTGGACTTTTGTATAAAACAAATGTTCCAGGGTGATATGAATAAAGAAAATAATAAATGATTTTTATAATTACCTCGATTGTTTGGGAATCATGCCCATTGTGCATGTGAACTTAGAAAGGTATTTGTTTAATGTACACATTTGATAGCAACAAAGACATTTTAAGGGTCCCTGTTGGGGCAAGTGGGGAGATCAGCAGATCAACAGGAGATCAACAGCTTGGCAGTTTATCTCTTCCTGTTCAAAGGTTAGAAGCTGCTTTTTCTGGTGAACAAATATGAATCCCACAAATATAGTGCAGATTTCATGCCCATATGCACATATCTCAAATCATTCTCTGCTTAAATAGCAAACACGTTTAAGTTGTACTGTACTGAAAAAAAATGGCAGGGGCCGGGGGGAGGAAGAAAGCAAGCAAAGTGCCACTCTATCTCCATAAAAAGTTTAAAGCATTTTCCATTATAATAATATTTATTTTTTGTCTTGAAGGGTGTTCAGGATTCTTTGTTAAAGAGAGTATGTGTACTTGCAAAAAAGCAACTCCCCCAACAAAACAGAATTTAAACGGATGCTTATAATACTGAAAAGGTTAGCACGTATCCAGACGGGCTACACACACACGCACACACAATTGCTATAGACAGATAAAATACTTGAGTATATTTTTGACATGTTCATTGCCAGCTGATATAAAGGGAGCAGAAAAATAAACTGGAGCTTCCATATAGAACTTCATTTTCCCCCAATGTCTTAATGTATGGATGTGTGTTTGTTTGTCTATACAGAAGGTAGGAACAGACATTTTTTGGTTTGCAGGGTCCATGCCACAGTTTTTAGTCAAGGAAAACTACCATTTGACAATAAAATGAAATGTTGGTCAGATTTGTTGTAAATTGTTGTAGCTGCAGCACGGAGCTAGATGATGATTTTGGCTCTCAGTCCCTGTGAGTTTTGTCTGGACTATCAGGCACATTATTAAACTTGGTAGAAGTAGGAGATGTTACTTCTCTCAATTCTGTTTGCCAAAAAATGTCCACGTTCACAAAGGGAAAATGGTGCGCCACTTATGAGAACTGCAGCCACCTGCAAGTACTTGTTAAGCCTGTTGTTAATATTCTCCAACGCTGTTCAAAGGGAACATGGTGAACTTTGCAATATTGAATTAAAAAAAAAATCCAAATAGTGTTAGGTTATGAGACCACCATTTTTTCCCTGTGAGAAGCACATTTTATATTACCTACCTGAATGTTGTGCCTTCAGAAAATACAAAGAATTTATAGGAAAAAGAAGATTTGGGCTGTAGAAAATATATAAGTAGGATATTGATAAGTGTGTGTGCGTACAGGCGTGTGTGTCTACTTTTGTATGTGTGAAAATTGTGGCTTATGTATAATGTGTCTATTTTTTGTATTAATATGAAACTTTTAAGTTAAAGATGATACATCAGACTACTAAGGCATTTACATTCTTGATAAAACATTGGCAATTAAATGTTCTCAAAAGGCAATGTAGGTGTTTAATAAGCCCGTTGAAAAGCTCATTGTACAAGGTTGCATGTACACTTGCTGAATAATTTTATGACATTGTACCCATTTTCTTAATTCATCAGTAGAAGCAGTAAAAGTAACATTGATAATGCTTTATTGGGAACATTTCATTGTTAAATATAATTTATTCCCAAGCACCATGGATATTAAGGGTGAGAAATGGAAGGGATGTTTATTTGTTTAATTAAAATGAATATTGAAATCAATTTATTGTGATAATGGAGCTAGATGTTTCATGTCAACACCATAAGTATTCTGATTTTACTTTGGATGATTTTTAAGTATTTGGGCTTGGGCTGCTGCTTGATTATCCTGTCCCAAACAAAGCATCCCAGGGGACTGCATATAAAGATTCCATTCTGGTTTTAGACCATGTGGCTTCATTAAATGCCTTTTCTTCTAGTTGTATAATCCTGTTCTGCTGCTTCATAGCAACTGCACAGTCTTTATACATTCTATTATTAGGGGGGTTAACCACTTAAGGCTACAGTGCCATTCTCTAGCTACCTTTTAGCAAAGGAATTTGGGTTGTTCCCCTAAATTTTGGAATCTGTATCTGTGATGATTTCAGATCATGCTGTGTTAAGCATGAGAGTTTCATGCACTTTCTAAACTAGGATTTGTCACATGTTATTCTACCAGCTCCTCTGATACCAGAAGCCAAATCCTGCTCATTTACTCTTCCATGGGAGTTTTGTGAGAGAGAAACTGCAGGTTTGATTCCAAGAATATTAGGAGACACATTTAGTTTGTTTAGCCTCCACAAGTGATAAAGCCAGAGGAAGTACCTTCCACATTTTAAATGCCTTTCAAAATTTTTTTGTAAGTTGAACTCGGGTCTCTTGAGATGAAAGGCTAGTGGTTATAATCAATTTTGAAACAAGTATTTTTCCTCCAATGGGCATGAAAGGATGAGAGAGACTATTCTTTTTTTCCTCTTACATGTTTAATTGACACAGTGTGTTTTAAGTGTCCTTGAAAGCAGGGGGCATTTCTACTTCTAATTCCAGACATGGGTCTCCTTGGAACCGAGAATACCAATCATGTCAAATTATACCCTGGCTTCTTAATGTGAACAGACTGACTATCAGCCAGATCCCACCTGCTTTATTCAGATAATCTCACTGATGTCTTCAGGTCAATTTCATTTTCTGTCTAATGTCATTGAAACTAGTAGAATTACAGACCGGGTGAATGTGGTCCACTGAAATGACATGTACAAATAAGGCAAGAAGGATGTAACACATAAGCTATGTGTTAACCTAGAACTTCTAGGTATACTTATACTCAAGTCGTCAGTGACATGTTTGAGTACTCATTGTCTAACGGCAGTTTCTTATCTAGTGTATCATTGCTCCTGAAAAGGTGTTTGTGGGTAGATGTGGAGTAAAGCCAGAACTGAGTCAAATATTCTCTCTCCACTATGAACCATATAACATACCTTATCTAAAGAATAAATTGAGCTCTTTGGACTTACTGATAACAAATGAGGTTGCTGGAAACTGTATAGCGTGAAACATTGTTACTCAACCCCATTCCATCTGTAGTTCCTTCGGTAAATAACATTTTGCTAAGATGATACTTAGAGTCTGCATATTCTTGATTATATTAACTTTAAAAAACATTAATCTTACCATTTTTTTCTGAGTTTGGAGTTTTTCAGGTTATGAGATCGTGAAAGAGTGATGGTGCTATAATCTAGCACTATTAGATATTTAACATCCCAACTGGCTGGAACTTAAATTATAAAAGGCAAGATGTAACTCAATCTAAGGCTAAGTGATAGAAAGCAAATTGTACGGTAGTGCTATGATAAATACAGACCTTGCACACATACCATTGCTTCTGCATTCCAGAATTCTGTATAAGATGTGTGTAAATAAATCATGTAAAAACCAAATGATAATGCACTTAGGGAAAATGTATGAATTAAGCTATAATGTTGAGCATCTGCAATAAAACCTGGGTGGAAATGATATGTAGGGAAGGAGACATTGTCTCCCAGATGAGTTAAAGAATGGAGGAAGGAATACAAGCCTCACTGATATCCATGGCAATGATCTCCATAGTGTCAGTATTTCTTCCCTGAAATTTGGAAGTTTTCTTGTCCTCCTTGTCTAGTCTTGCTCTAAAAAGGGATGAGTGGGCTATGAGTTGTACCAGTGCAGTGCTAAGAAGTATCTAAAACTTGCGCCTAAAGCTGCTCCTATAGCAGTATTTGTCTGCTGTGTTGTGGATGAAGATTGGGCTCTTATTTCAGTTCATATTTACCAAGTGAAAAACAACAATGAAAATCAGCATAGGGGAAATAATAATAAAAAAATTAGCATCACAGCAAGAAATCAAATAAAGAGCAGTATGGGCTTGTTTCTGTAGGGTTCTGAGTTTCCTCAGTTTCTGTTGGCATCATTGGGGCACGAGGGTTGTTCAGAACCATTATGGAAAGAGGCCCAAAGGCTAGATGTTGAAAGATTTTTAGGCCCTTAAGAGGATTTTCCTGAAAGCTTAGGCATCTAACTCCTATTGAAGGAGGAGATACGAACAGAAGTCAATAAGAGTTTGGCTTCTCTATGGGAGAGAGGCATTTAGATGCTTTTGAAGATCCCACTAGGCACTTATCTGGACCTTTAGATGTTTAAGTACCTTTACAAATATGGCCTCTGAAGAACTAATTTGTGCCACATATTTCTTACCCTTTAAAACAACTTGACCTTAACTGTTGCTGCAGGTGACACTTATACTGAAATGTTCATGATGGCAGTACATCAGCAGCAGCAGCTTAGCTGTTTCAGAGGCTCAGCAGCAAAATGGTTAGCAATAATCACTTTGGAAAGAAGTGGATTTATAATTAGGATGCTTCATCCAGTCACGTCTTTTGTTTTACCCAAGGGTGATAAAGATAAGAGTAAAGGCAAGAGACATTTATTTAGAAGAAAGGAAAGGAATACAAAACAGTCTGTTAGAAGTCACTCTTGCCTTGCTGTAGGAAGAAAGAAATCCTGTGGAGGAGCCAATTAGAAAAACAAATACTACACAGCAAGGTTAGAGGAGGAAAGATACAGATATTTGCATGTTAAAAGCAAGGATGATAAAACCCTAAAGGGGATAACACAAAATGTACAGATGCTGTACATTATAGCTATTAAAATCGTTCTCAATACATAGAAAAGGATCCCTCGCTTCACAATACTGACATTTTTGGACCTTTTTTTAAGTTTACAACTTGTAGGATCCTGGGTCCTGGGTATGAGTTATATTTAGGGTTCAATTAATGTGTTAATCATGCCATAACTAATAAGTGCTATATATTCCGGTGATTTATTTTTATGGCATCATAAAGTTGGCAATCCAGCCACAAAGACATTCCACAAAATACATGAAACATCTCTGTAGCTCATTTGCAAGGCACCAGAACCCGAGTGTGTAGCATGTCCCCTCCCAATACTGACAATCAGCTGACAATCAGCATCAGGATGGGGGTCAGCATTGGGCCTGGGAAAGTCCTGGTCCTGATGCAGAAAATGGGCTGCCAGGGAGGTGGTATACAAAGTTCCCTTGTAGGGGGAAGCCTGTTGACCCATCAGGATAGCCCCAGGTTTGGTTCAAGACTGAGGGCTGGGGCCAACAATCAGATGATTGTTGGCACTGGCCTGGTGGCCCCATGCCCCATGGATCAAGCTGGAGGCAGCTCCATAGTGGCATAACTGGGATATAGGAAATTTTATGCTGCATCCCAAACACTGAACATGCTGCCATGCCAGATGTGTGTGGCAGGACATGCAGTGTTTTGGGATGGGGCATAAACTTTCTCAGTTCCCAATTGTGCCATTGTTTTAATGTCTGTCAGGGGCCTGAAATTAACTTTAAGAAGGAAACATTTTTTAGTTTATTTGAAAGGATCCATGTAGATTCATATTTGCTGTTCCAAGCTCATTTTTACTTAGATATAGCAATGCACACACTTTTGGCCTTAGTTTCTCTCTATCTCTGTCTCTCCCTTCCCTTCTCTACAATTCCATTCATGAATTCCCATAGCTAGATTTTTGGTGCTACTATCAATTTCAACTGCCAGATGGTTCCTTATCCCACCTACAAGGAGTATCAGCAGTGATTTGTTCCAAGCCATGTGTATGTCATGCAACATTTTATCACATGAAAGGTGCTAGAAAAATGGAAATGTTTAGTTGCTGTAAGACTTGAGTTAGCATTCAACAAGTGGCTACTGATGACTCCTATAGATGGCTCTGGGACAGATCTTGCAGTCCTTACTCACGTGAGTATTTCCATCAAGTACATGATTAGTTATCCAAGTACTGTAAGAGTGAGCACTCCCACTTTAGGTAGTTTTTAAATACATATCAAATCTCTACGTATACTTGACTTAATGCTTTATTTCACAGAATAGAAGGCTCCCACATGCCATAACACTACGGCTCCATCAGAGCCTGTCAGAGCTATCTCTGAATCAGCTAAAAGGGGTTGCTGTACAAAGATGTAAGGTCTTTTTTTTCCCTTAGGAACAAAGGACGCTCACTAAATTTGTGCCTGTGAAGAGGCAGCCCTGGAACTGAAACACAGGCTATACAGTGACACTGCTATTGAACTCTTAATGGAAATGTCACAACCAGATGGATATGATCTATGGCTATATCTACATAAGCAACTGCTAGTTTTATGAAGGAGCATAGTGGGATTTTCCTGTTGCTTCTTATTCTAATTCTGATTGGCTTGTGCTGGGCTTTTTGTTTATTCAAGTCAGAAAATGATATTTAGCTCCTGCTTTGTATCGCATAGAAGCCTTACAAAACAAACCATCTGAGGACACATTACAAAACATTCCCTTCTTAAGGGCTTAGACTCTCTGAAACTTGCATGTCAGTGGTACAGACCAGTAGGGACAAGAGGCAGCCTAGGTATTTTGTGTGGGACACATCAGGTAGACAGCATGGGAAAAATGGTATCTGGGGGATAGCGGAGTCCTGCAAGCCAAGGGCACAGAGGGGCCAAGGAGGAGAAGCTGCAGCAGGTTCCAGCACAAGGGCCAATGGAGACCAGGGCCACGAAGCAATTTCTTGTGTTAGAAATCTGACTTGTGAGAAGAAGACCATGAGCCTGCTGCCAGAAATACAACAGCAGAAGAGGCATATTATTTCCTTAAGCAGGAGTGGGGTGAGGGAACTGACTCAGAAGGACAACCCGGAGAGGT